CACTTTCACCTCTTTAACAAAGGTAGAGGGGAAATGAAACAATTACAAAATGGTGAATTGAAGGCTGCTTCCATGGTGGGAAAATGTATTAGTGTAGAAGGCAAATCATCCTGGATTAATTGGTGCTAAATGACTTTCCATGTATGACAGTTAATAAAATTGTGTCCTCTGTTAAACACCTCTGGCTTCCTGTAGCTTCAAGAAAATCCAAGAATAGGACAAATTCAATAAAATTTGTTGGAAAGCAGTCTTCTCTTCATTGGCTACAGAGAGCCATTTTGGAAGAAGGGCTGTATGGCTCTTTGCTAATTACTAAGGACTCCAAGGAGTTTTCTGTTCTCTTCTATCTCCAAAATTTGTCAACTTAAGCAATTTTCCTTAGTTTGCAAGCAGGTAAATTTTGGTACAATTACTGTTCCCTGCTGGGGTGCTGAGTGGTTCCCTGTTTGGCTGAATATATGTCTCAAGCACTGGTAAACTGCCTTACTCTCAGTGAATTTGGAACAAAAACATGTTACCAAGTAAAAGACTGGGCAAGTAGAAAACTGAGAGTGTATAACACATCCAAAATGAATCTTCATATTTCAGGTATTTGTTGCCTCCTGTCTGTGGAGGTGGTAATAGGATGGTGTGTTGAATTCATTCACCTTTCAAACAGTTGTAGCCAGTGCTGTAGAGCTGGGGGGGATCCCTGTTGGTGAGGAGGCTGGGGAGCCAGTGTCTGTGCTGGGGCACTTCTGCACCTAGTGTTGGTGCTTTAGGGAATGGGGAAGCAGGACTGAGGCACATGCAGTTAGAACATGGTATCAGTGAAGCAGACAAGTGAAAGCTGTCAAATATTTGGAGAGAAGGAGTATGGGGAAGGAAGAAAAACCAAAACACCACCACTCCACCCCAGCCTGGCTATGCATGGAAGGTGTTGAGGACTGTGATAATTAAATCACATAACAATCAAGTAACTAAACATTTACTTGCTGCTTCAAGGCCATATTTCATTACAGATTCTCCTCTGTCCTTCCTGATGGTTAATTGCAAGCATTGAATTTCATCTGTAGCCAGTAGATCGTGGTGCATGGAATTTCCATGCTGACTGCCAGTTGCATTTGTAAAATGACTGCAGAGTCTCCCTCTTATCTGTGAAGATGGCTTGTCAAGTGTTGTGTGAAAAGCAATACACCACTCCCAGTGTGTTTGGCACTTCATGCAGAAAGATCAATGATTGACTGTGCTGGTTAACAGCAATGGAATGTAAATGGATAAGGACAGGAGTCAGTGTGTGTGTCTGGGGAGAGGGCTGGCCGTGCTGATGTTACAGTGGAGTTAGGCACCGTGCTCCTGACCTGGTGAGTATCTGTGGTGCAGGACAGTCCTGCCCAAGTGTGTCAGCAAGATCTGAGAGCAAGACAGTGCCACCAGCTTGGCCATGCTGCTTGAGTTTGGCCTGGCTTGCACAGTCCAACATATTGGGAGACAAAAGTGCTAGAAAATAGATGTGTTAGACTAACTTATGACAGTGGTGGATGCTGGGGGGTTAAGCTTTGCCACATATGACTGCTGATTGCCTAGTTGTTGGATAAGGTTTATCTTGTGAGGTAGATGCCCTTAGCACTACTTCTTGCTAAATATCTCATGTACACAACATCCTAATGCAAACATTAAAATAATAATAGTAATAAAGTACCTGATCCACTTGCCAGCTAATGAATGCTGCCTTTGTATATCTGCTTTCATCCTTAAAGTGAGGAATGTAAAATAAGATTTTTGACTTTTAGAAAGATAATGCTTGACAAAATGTAGTTTGTCTTTACAGGATTATGTTGGTGAAACTCCTATTCATAAAGCAGCACGGTCTGGTAGTATGGATTCCATAAGTGCCCTTGTGGCTCATGGGGCGCAAATAGAGTAAGTGAGGTCTTTTTTTTTGTTGTTGTTGATTGTTGTGTGTTGAACTAACTAACTCAGAGCAGTAAACACAGATACTAATGTCAGGGAAAAAAAGCCAAGCCAACAGACACCCTATCAAAAGACAGCTAGACATGTTCAACTGTAATGAAGCCCAAGATGTTTTGCATGTCTAGTAATAAAGTTTATTTTACCTAAGTGATACCAGTGTGCTACATTACTATTGAATTTATGTCTGAGATATTAAACTATTTATCACACTTCTGTTAGATGGCAACCAATTGTATGCTTTATCTACCCTGTAGTTACTTTTTACAACAAATTTACACTTTGCACTGGTAAATAAATATAGAAAACAATGCAAAAGCAACATTAAATGCAAAATACCATCTCACACACTCTTTGCAGGTAGATTAATACTGTTTTTTTAGTATATTGTGTATTTGCCCTGTTAACTTTTTTCTTTAAAGGTTTATGTACTGCAAAAACATTCAGAAAAATCTCACAAACTTTTGCAACTTACAGCATGGACAAAATGGATGCAGTTTTCACCTAGAAATGTTGAGTATAAGCTCTATAGCTTATAATAATGTAAATACTTTAGTAATTTATTTTAATTAGAACTAGCCTTATTATCTTAAATGGTAACTAGTTACTGTATGTTAACCTGCAATATGAAGCTTCTGAGTTGTAAGTGAAATAAGAATCACATAGTTAATTTCTTGTTTTACCCTTTGGTTTCCATCTTACTGTTTTTGTAATGCTGCCCTGACAAATCTACCTTAAAATTAACTTTTCCAGTAGTTTTGTAGAGTATTTAGGAAATACAGTACCTTTTAAGTTAATAGTGATGAACAAATTGCTTTATATGAAGAGATTGCTTCCTAGAAAATGGTGCTGAAGTAACTTACACAGCTGTCTTTGTCAGTTTGTGAAGCCAGGCTTAAATAAATTTATAAATTCCCATTTTGCACTCACTTTTAGATATCTTAAGATAAACTTGGATTTAAATTTACTGTGGAATTGAGCAAACCTTAATTATCATCATCAATTAGTATGTAATCTTGTGTATCCAATCAAAAGAGAAGTTGTGGAACTGCATAAAAAAACTAAAGAGTGATTTAAGATTGATGTCAAGAAGATGTTACAACTATAAGATTTTAAAAATCAGCTGAGTAACTGAGGTTGGAGATGAGGCTGCAACTTTAACTTGTAGAACTAAAATTTTCCTTTTTAAACATGAATTTGCAAGCCATAGGCAAAACACCTCTGTAAAATATGGAGAGTCATATCTGCCTTGGACCAAAGCTATTTGCAGCAGCAGTAGTGTAGGTTTATAGCACTTTTAGTGAATAGGGAATTTTGAATTCTCAGGTTTTTAACTCTGAATTCTGTGTTTCAGTAGGATAGACTTGTCACAAGTTGTGTAGGTAATTAAATATCAGGTCCTCTCCAGGTAATGGTAAAATCAGGGCTGCAAATGCAATAGGCTGGTGGAGCAACCCATATTTAGCCACAGAGGGGATCAGGACTTGTCCCTGTCACCTGCAGCAGCTAGCTATTGACTGACCAGGGTGAGGATTTTTGCCATAGACTCTAGTTTCCAGGCTCAGTATGTTAAATTAGGCCAAATCAAGGTATATGCTTTTGACTTTCATTTTGAGTTATCTGGGTTTGAAAAGTGGCCCCATATCTCTAATGCTTATGTTGATTTCCTGATTTCAGAGCATCTACATTTTCAGGATGCTATCAAAATTTTTCATTCCTTTAGTTGAAGGCTTCAGTTAGAAGAAAAGGCAGAGGGATTTTATCCACATCCTTGAATTATACTTTGTAGATATTAATGGAAATTATAATTGACTCTATAGAACCAAGGCAAGATTTTTACTAAATACAGAACTAAGCACTATAGAACTAAAGTGCTGATCTGTACTGAGGGTAGGTACTGGCCTTTTTATATGGGGATTAGATCTTCTAATCCAATTTTGTCTTCTTCATACAGTATCAAAATCTAGTTAGGTGGAGACAGAGGATATCCCTTGTGACTGCAAAATAGTCAAATGTGCTGCTTATACCTGTTATTTGTAGTGTATGTCCAGTGCTGCACCATCCCTAGTTATTTTTAATAGAAATTAGAGAACAGGGATGTTAAGATTTCATTATTACACTAACACTAGTAATCAGTAGTGTAATACTGCCAGAAATTTATTTTTTATTAATGAGTGATGATTGAAATCCTGCTGTTAAAATGAAGTAATTTGGACAAGTGTGATCTTTGATACCAGTGTTTGCTGTATTTCTACTTTATTCACTCCTTTGGTTATACTGGAAGCCAAAGAATATTGACAATAGTCCAGTAAGGATAAAAGGAAGTATTTTAGTTTGAATAAAATTGCCTCACTTGAATTGTTGTAGTTTATTTCAAGCTTGTCAGTGTATTGCTTTTGCAGAGAAATACAGTATGTTGCAGTCTCTAAATTTCATTAAGATGTTGTGTTGTTTTCCTAATTGATGAGAGAGAATTTGGGTCTCTATTCCTGTGTAAATTTTTAATAGTATTAAAAAAAAAAAATAATACTTGTACCCTAGTGAAAATATTTTGATTTTTTTTGTGGTATTTACCTTCTCATTTTAGCTGAAGCATATTCTGTGCACAGTATGTCCTACAGCCATAAAAATGGTTGCTCCACTAACTATGGTATTCATGGACCCTTGAAGAGGGGGAAGCAGGTGGTCACAATGTCCTCATATGAGTGAAAAGGTTTGCTGTGTAACTGACTTTTTAATGTGGATAGTACCTTTTAAAGTATCCATAATAAGTGCTGGATTTTCACTAAAAAGCATAATTATGCTATTTATGTATGGTTAATTGTGTGTTATTTATCATGATGACAAAGAAGTGTCCACAGCTCCTAATGGAGAAAAAGCCTTCTTGGTGCCATGTTTTGTTTTGCTCTTTTACACTATTTTTTTGAAATGCTGTGTATTCATCTAGTTACAGAGATCCCATCACAGCATGCATGTAAATCTAAAATTCAGCTACAAACACAGGACACTGCTGAACAAAAATAAAGCAGATGCAGCTGTTAATTATACTGATTTGAACTCACTTCTCTCTCACATCTGTTTCCATGCAGTTCACTTGTGCATTACGGCCACTTATTTCTGAACAAAAACTGCTCTGCAACTGTCATTTGAACAGTTGTGTATTCCTTATTGGCCTCATTTAGAGCTGGGGTAGAAGTTTCAAATTCTGTGTTATCCTGGGATAAAGAAGGGTGTAGCTTGTGGACAGGATGTGACACCATCCAGCTGAACACAGGTACTTGCTTCAGAGCTTTGTTGATCAAGATACTTGAATAGTAGCATGGGAAAGTTCTTATTTCCATGCTAGAAATCATAAGGCTTTGGGAAAAATGGGTGTGTTGATGGGGGGGCTACAAGATCCCAAAGAGATCCTTGCCTTTTTGGTTTCTTACACTCTGCTCTCCAGGTTTGGGAAGAAAACATGGCTGGGATTAAAACACCAGTGCATCTGTTTCTAGGAGATGACAGATGTATGTCATGATGTTGAGCTGTTTTAGGCAAATGCTTCAGCCACTTTTTCCTTAAAGCTGTCTTGCATTCGAGTGTGTAAATTCACTCCTTCACTTCTATGATGCCAGAAATGTCCCTTTTCTTGTGTTTAGTTCTTTAGCAAAAATTTTATTCTCATTCTTTGATAGTGGCTTAGGTTTCAACTCTTTGTAAATTCATGGTGTGTCACAAACTGCAATGAGTTGTTAAAAACAAAAAAAAGGCATCATTAATTTTTTCTTCACAGCCACTCTCCATCCTCCCTAGCAGAAATCTGTCCAGTGGGGATTTTTTTAGTGCTGCTGGATCAGCCCTGGGTGAGATTCTTGTAATAAGTTCTGTTTGAAGTGATTTGTTTCACATCATGACCACCCCCATGATATCTCAAGCTTTTGTTCTTTGCATCTGTGCTTTTGAGAAGTCTTGACTTTCTGAAATTCACTTTTAGTGAAGAGGCAGAAGAAGAGTGATGTGTAGATTTCATCATGATACTGCACAAATCAGCTGTTCCTTTTGTGCTGTAAACTCTCAGTTCCTTTTCAGCCTGAAGAGAACACTTATATGGCCTGTTCTTGAAAGTTCCCAGGGTTCAGAGATCTCCTTCATTAGCTTCTGGACTTCTTCCTGATTTCTTAACATCTTGGCCAATTTTTAACACTTGCTTTTCATACCTAGCTGCCTGGCTGACTGAATTACCAAACTTCTCCTACTGCACTGAAGACCATTTCTGGTGTTAACATACTTGTGAGGTGCCAATCCTCTGTTAACTTTTTCCTTTAGAAGCTGTATGGCCACATTTATTCAGTGTAAATGAATCAACATCCTACTTTCTTACAGTCATTTACCTAATCTTGAGGAAAATGCTTCAGGTTTTTACTGGCTTTTCATTTGGGAATAGGATTTAGGTGCTTTTTCAGCAGAGTAGTTCTTATCTGTTAATTAGTATATTTTATATAATCTGTTTTAATTACAATCAAAGCTTGCTAATTTCTTCCATGTTTGGTTTCATGCTTGATTGTCATCCTTGCAGAAGAACTTCAAGTGGTTTGTAGGAGGTCGTGGTCATGAAGGAAGGCAGTAATTTGGATTTAGTCTCAAGGAAAGATTGGGAAGTGCTGGAGCAGAAGGTACATGCATGTTAAACCCATAAATCACAGTGGAAGAGAGACTCAGTCTTAGAGTAAAACAGGATGAAAAAGGACATTTTCCACTTAGAGTTTGAATAACTAGAGGAAGCTGAGGCAAACTCTTACCCCTGGGTTCCTGTTCAGTTTGAGGGTGGATTATTCTTAGTGGGGCTGGAATAACAATAGTTAAGTGACTTGAGTTCAGAAAGAGAGAAGAATGTGAGAGGTTGTACTTTTTGTAAAGAAGGTTAAATCCTTCATTAAAGCAATGATATTTTATGACCTTTCTGGAACATA